TTTTTTTGGGTAATAAGTTGTGAATATATGGTTGAAAGTTGATGAATATGTAATTGAAAATGAATTTGAGGAAAAATAAATTTTAAGAAAAACAAGGGTCAAGCTTTTTAAGTATAAAACAACAGTAGTTTGCCTAGAAAGATAAATAAAACATCAGTAATTTGACACGTAAACTTCTTATCGATTGAACTGTTTTGTCAAATGTAATTTATGATTTTTTTAATATCTGAAAAAAAACATTTGAAGTTTCACCAACTACAAAACTTATATGTTATTCAATACTATATAAACATTTAAACCATTAAAATTTATTGAATAATCAGATTTTTTGAATAAAATTTTATTTAAAAAATATTCTCAAAATTTCAAAGTAAACGCGTTTTCCATTTTTATGTTTTCAGAAACAGTTTTTAAGAATGGTAAAAAAAATGCATTTTAAAAAATTTCAAAACAGACACTCAAAACACTAAATACAAAATGAATTCAAAACTCAAAACACAAAACTGAAACACAAAGAGAACAGCCCCTTAGAAATTATTTTCCTGCCATATGCTGGCCATCCTATAGTTGCTTCCTTTTTCGATATGAGATTGTTTAATATTACAAACGAATACCCTCGAGCCTTTTAAGTTTTTAGACCTTTTGGGAATACTTTAAGGAATTAAGTGCTATTTTTATTTGAAAAATTGTATAAAAAAATTTGTTCCTCAAAATAAATTATTTCTTTTTTTAAAAATGTGTGGTTAAAATTAAATATTGACATTGAAAAGTAACTTTTATGTTTTTAATAATAATAATAAAAAAAACCTAAACGTAGGCTGAAATGCTATATAAATTATATATTGAAACTTTGCCTATATTCTATTCCGTTGTCTCATTTTTGTTGAAATTGGAAGTGGAAGTAATGAAAATTAAACGTAGCCAAGTTTAAAAGTTTATTTGCTACATATATTAATAATTTAAAAATTAAAGTGATTTTCTCAAATTTTTTGGTATATTTATTTTTTAATTTGTTATAACTCGTTCGACCTTTTGAATCTTGATCCTTTGTCTTTTTCGGATCGATGTCCGAGTCAAACATTGCAAAAAACCCAAAATTTCCTTTTTAAGTCAACAATTCACAAATACACATAAAAAGGATTATCAATTCCATACTTATTTTAAATTATTTTATTCTCAAATTACCTTATTTTATTTTATTTTTTACAATTCAACATGTTATCTTGTAAATTATGTTACGCACATTTCACTACATGTTTCCACCAATGTCGTCATCATTTGTAAAGCAGAATGTTAAACTCGTTGTATGTCTATTTCTCCACCATTACAGATGCTATCTCTCGTAACATTTAGTATTACATGACCACCACTGCAATCTCATTACTAGTAACATTTAGTGTTACACCATCACAATCACTGCATACATATTTTCCTTTAATAATAACATATGGTATTACCATCACCACCACCATCCCTGCCACCACATAACCATCACCATTGCTGCCTTCCCTAAGCATCACACCAATACTCAAAAGCATTTTAAAAGTGCAATGATTAATGAAATATGATGAGTGTGTGATGGAGTGCAATGTCTTAGAGTATCACTCGAAAATATTTTAAAATTCAGTTCCTAAAACATAACGAAGGTATAAATTAAGTAACTAATGAAACATTTAACTCGTTCTACTTGCTATATATTTTTGATTAAGAATAAATTACAAGACCTTTTCTTAAGTTTATGACCATGCAAGAATCAGAAACCTTCCATTTTAGCATAAATTTTCTATTTTATCCGCTCCTTATACTATATACTAGCCATTGCACGGGCTGAGATATTTTGAAGCTAATATTAATGTGTTCAATGTCAAGGATTGACTGAAAATATATGCGTTGAGTGAACAAAGACTGATGTGTAAATGTAGATGTTGGGATTTTTTATTTTAGACGAGGATCACCAAAATTGATGAATGAACGTGAGTGCTAAAAATAAAGGGGGATAGCCAAAAACTAAAATAAAGCAAGTAAAACTTAAATTAAATTAAACAATAAAGTTCATTCCAAATAATTAACAAACTAATCAGCACGTTCCATTCTAGCAATGTCTTTGGTTGATCTTTAAGTGGCGGTCCTGGGATATTGTCACCGTAGCGGTAAAATAACAAATAGTTACTCTCGGTATCTTTTATATTTGTCAAATTCGACGGTTTGATATATTGTGTAAAACTTATTTTCTACAACACATTAAAGCAAAATTATGATCAAATGGAAATAGTATAGCAACAGCCTTGGATTCCTCATGAGTATTGTGCAGTGAAATTGCAAATCTTATCGTTATTATGAGATGAAATTTACTGGTCTAAAAACATTGTGTAACCCACATAAAAAGTTTCAATTAAAAGTTGAGCTTCAATTTATCTGATTAGTTTTATCACCTATAGTCATTAAGAGTAAAATTTGCCATTTTGAGGTTTGCTCCTAGTACATCAAGGACATATGAGGAAGAAAGCACAAACTAATTTACCCAAAACTAAAAAAAAAAAAGAGAAACGAGATAGCCAAAAATAGTGGAGGATATGATATAATTAATATATTGACCTTAAACTGCTAATAATTGTCAAGATGATCCAAACTTTAGAGAGAACGATTTTTTCTCCTCATTCAAGTGTGAAATTACGAGCGAAGGTTTACGATGTCCATTCTTATGCATATTGTTAGAATTGGATTGTGACCCGAATTCTTGTTGAGTATTTGATTAAAAATACTGTTGGATGAGTATTAGAAGTTGGTAGTAGACTTAAAGATGTCTTGAATGACTCCAAAATGAATTTGACTCCTATTTTATTCCAAATTCTCAATTATTGGTTTTACCCATTGTATTGGGATTTCAAGTATTTTAAGAATTCTCTGGTTATATATATGTGGGATACAACATATATTGGAATTGATCAATTGTTCAATTAGTTATTGGTCCAAAGAGATCTTTTATAACCACTTTACTATTGATTATAGTGAATTCTCGATCTCTGCCGGTGATTTTCTCGGATTTGGATTCTCACTTAGATCTTGTTTTCTTTATGATCAATTATTTTCATATTATTTTCATCTTCATTATTTGGTTGGATTCTCAACAAGCGGTATCAGAGCGATTCTAATATCTTGCTTGTTTCATAACAAAGTGGTATTAGAGCTAAGATTTCGACGGTTCTTGGGAGGGCCAAATTGGTTATTAAAGCAAGGTTTGAACAAAGTTGATTATTTTAGGGATGACAAGTATGAAATTTGAGATTTCACTTTTGGATCACAATACTAAATTTTGTTATGGCAAATTTTTGTTTGGACTCTAGAAGGGAAATAACACAAGGAGTTGTGATCTTGTTGCTCGTGGGGATAATTCGGGCAAATTAGTTAATTCATATGGAGTTAATTGTGATATTGTTGATCATGTTGTTCGTGGTGATTCGATTAGGTTTGGTGACTCAGTTAGAGCTGGTAATGAACGGGATGATTCAAGTAAGGTTGGCACCAAAAGTAGTTCTGCTGGTGAGCAGGACTTGGATTTAGTTCACAGTTATT